AAAAAGTCTGCTTTCTTACAAAACACATGAAACAGAATCCCAGAACAGCATGAAATGCCACCCCAAAATTACCTGAGTCTCTTTAAATCACAGAATGCAGACATCATGTGGGATCTCCGAGCCACTGCACAGGCAGTCTACAGCGTAAATGATTTTTAAATTACAAGAAAATTCTAACCAGCTTATCTATCCTGCAGTGACATAGAGTTTCTCGAGACACTTGTTAAAACACCTTGACTCTCTTGCTAAGTGGGAATCCCAGTCCCTGTGCCACGCACAGGGTGCCACTCCTGCTGATCCCACTGCTCCACCAGAGCCCCTTTTGGCACACACACACACAGGGCACACGTTCCTTGGCACTCCTGCACCTGAAAGCTCTGGCTCCTGCACTCAATACCTGCACTTCCACTATCAAGAAATTTCAAGCTGAGTTTGACAAGCTTTAATAAATTAGTCACAGATCATCCTGAAATGTACAATAATTGATCCTCAAGCTTCATAAATATTCAGCAGGATCTGGGTATGAAATTTGGAAAGCTGTTACATAATTCCTGTGAAGATAGCTGAAAGAGGACAATACCAGAATGCCACCTGTGTAATTGAGATTAACTAAGACACAGAGCCCTTACTTAGGAAAAAAATATTTCAAAGGACCATGCAGCACTATTATTTTTTTACTAAAATAAGCTTTTCTCTCTCTTCAAGAGAAAAGTACTAGTGATAAAATGTCTTTCTAATGAACAAAATATTTCCAGGACTAATATTTTTTAAGGTGCTTCCATCAAAACTTCTGGAATTTTACAAGCTTCTTCCAGTTACAAAATAAAAAAATAACAACTAAAACCAATACTGTAGACCACAACTTGTGGTTACACTATTATCTGAGAGGAGCCTGGATTTTAAAGTATGGGATTAACAGTACATTTAATCAATCTTGGTAACACAGGCAGTAGACAGCAAAATTGATTATTGTTCAGATAATAAAATGTTGCATTTTAAAATAATTGGTACTATCACTACAGTCACAACAAGTATTTTCACCCTCCCTTCTCCCATTCTGCTGTAACTCTATGAAAATGGGCTGGCTCTGCAGAAACACAAGGGTCCATGTCAGGAAAGCTTTCTACAAGGCTAAGAACCACTTTTATACCTCAATCACTGGGTTGAAATATTTCAGGTTTATCTGCCAAGAGTGACTATTTTAATATCTGCAGAATTAGACAGCCAGTGTCTTAGAATTTTTACAGAACAAGATGACAAGCTCTTGGAACACTGATGCTAATTTTCAGTAAATGCTGAGGCTACAAAAGACTGCAGAGAAAATAAAGCTCTAACATAATTTAAAATGAGAAAAGCAGTCTGATAGGTTAGCTTGGTATCAGTCTTGCACAGAATCCTGGTATATAATCTACAGAAAGATAAAGGATGGTGGTAAAAAGTAATGCTAAACATAGACTTACATAAAATAGGTCTCACTAAATAAATTTGGTATGGCTTTCTGACAAGAATATAGGTTGGACTGGATAAAAATACCCTGCAGTTTCTGACCTACTATACTTAGATCTCTGTAAGATTTGGTGCTACACAAAAGTCTGATTTAGAAGTTAGTCAACATGAAGAAAACCTGGAATCTAAAACCACCTCATAAATTATTAGGGAGGCTAAAGAAAAATATTTTAAATCCACCTTGTCAACAGTTAAAAGCTGTTTTCTTAGCTCTTAAAAATCATAGCTCATTATAGCCTGCAATACTATAAAAAGCTTCTTCCCCTTCAACTTTTTTTGTGGTTGGGAAAAAAATCATATACACACAGAGTTAAAGAAAAAGGGAGGAGGAATACAGTCACTTTAAACTTTCGCTCTCATAGATGGCTTCTCAGGAAAGAAAACTTCAGCACTAACAGATTTCTTCAACCAAAAAAAACATCAGTGCACTTAAAAGCCATATTTTCAGGAAAAAAAAGTATACATATGAAAAATCAAAGCCAGTTGTACACACGTGTAACATCTTGCAGTACTAAACTTACCTAGGTTATACCTCTTGCATCCAGAGTCACCTGGAAACATTACAGAGGATCATTTAACACTTTTGACAAGGACAGATGTGCAACAAATTATTATGTATAAGCTGCTCCAGGGTCTTACCATATGGCACACATAAAAGAATTCAAGGAAAGAGGGAAAACTGTGACTTTTTAGCTTGGTTGAAAGCACACACAGGTACTTGTTCCAAAAGAGCTGGCACAGTCAGGTGCTATCCCCTGTGCAAGAAATTTTTCCTATTGTGTGAATCTCCACTACTGATGCTTTAGGGAAGGTCCAGAGCTACTCAGTGCTCCTGCTGGTCACTTGAAGGATTATATGAAAGACTGCAGCTGATAGAATCTGCACAGGGTACCCAAAGTGGTGAAGGACAAATAAATAAGAGTAAGTCAATCCTGTTCCAGACATCTACACCATCCATCACACTGAATTAATGGCAAAGACATGGCTTTGGGTATACAGCCCAGTGCAACACCTGCCTCACATGAGAAACAAGGGTTGTTTCACACTTAAAGATGAGGAATTCTACTTGGAAATGGAACAAAGCAAAACAAAAACTCCTAAGGCACAATATATTCTCAAATGCATATAGGAACCCAGCAAGCTGGAACTGACTTCCCAAGCAAAAACATCCCATGGATATTCAATATGTCAAATGGAGCAGGAGAGAAAACAGGCTGTTACATCAATACCTGCCATTAGTGAGATTCTTGACGATGTATTTACCAAGTTCTACTTGCATTCTAAAGGAGAAAAGTTAATGAACATGGGTGATGCCTGAAAGCTCTGTCTTAAAAAGAAAAATAATGGCTTTGTTCTCAAAGTTGTTCTTATGAGCTTAAGACCCAGAACAAAAAATTTCATAGAAGCTCGTAATTAGTAACACATGAAGAATGGAACAAAAGTCATTAAATATAATAAACTAGTCATAAGTGCTGCTGTATTCTAAATTAATTACTCAAGGACTATCTATCTATTTGTCATTCCAGAGACCTTAATAAGACTATCTGACCAAGAGTGAAATGATGAACAAAAAGTGAGAAAAGATTGTATTGGATTAAATGACAGAAAATTACAGAAGTTTTGATATTATTAAATAAATAATTGTGGATTTTCACTGACAATAGTCTTCAGTTCTGACCAACTTCTCTGTGTGATAGCACTCAGAAAATGGAAAGAGCTCAGAGAGGTGTAAGAAAAATATTAAGTCTTGATTAAATGGATGTTTCAAAATGCTTAAGACTTCCAAAAGGAAGTAAGTGGATAAAGAAGAAAGGCAGTAACTGCACAAAATTTGCATAGAGAAGTTCAGCTAGGTCTTCTCCTCACCCTTTAGCAAAATACTAGGTTGTACCATAGTGACCAAAGCCTTAAGAAAAACAAAGATTTTAGTCAAACCAACTAAATGGAACATATCAGAGTTCACAGAAGTGAGCACCTTCAGTACAGCTTACACAGTTCACGAATGCATGGCCCATTCTTTGGCCCAGACCTGGGTAACTGGATAGGTCGTTAGTTTTTCATATAAAATGCTATCACCCACCACGAGTACATAAAAATTCAAGAACAGAAGCCACTTATCCAAGTTTTCCATGTTGGAAACGCTTTATTCCTAAAAGTTCTGGCGGAGTTTTAATGACCACTCCCAGTAATGCTTCCCCACCACCACCTTCCAAAGGGCCTGATCAGTTAGTTGCCTATTGAAGACAAAGTACCGACTTGAAACAATCTACAAATCCGTAAAGAGCTGTTAAATGCCTCTATCCAGAACGAGAAAGCGCCTTTTAATCTCTCACAGCTCTAAAACCAGGAACTAACAGATTACAGCTCATATTAACTTTGTTCTTTCCTCACCCTGATTTTCCCCACCACCCTAAAACTGTCCATGAGCAGTGCTAAGCAGAACAAGGCAGTGAGCCACTTAATTGTCCAAGTCAAAATAAAGAGGGAATAGAAAGGTGTCAGGCTCTGGTAACGCCTCAGCTACTGTGATATACACTGCAGTAACGTTACCAGCACTGCCCAAGCATCCAAGCCTATGGACCAAAAGCCTCAAACTCAATACATGGGAACACCTTAATATCTCTTTTCTCCAGACGCCTCTAGGCACTTTTTCCAGCACCAGCTTAGTTTGCCAGGACAGGAAGAAACAACTATCGTTCCTATCTGCTGATCATGTCAAACTCACCAGGAAACATCAGAATAATTTTTGGCACACCCCAGGCCCTGCTGCTTGTCCTCCGAGCATCGAGTGGGGATGAGCCCAAGGGCAGCCAGGGGAGGCCAGCCCAGCTCCCTGACACCTGCACCATGGGCACATCCTCCACACCCTCATCGGGAAAGGCATTGTGGAGGCAGTGCTCCCTCTCCATCACCCACAGGGGCTGGACAGCCACCACAGGGGACCCCACCGCCCCCACAGTGCCATGTCAATGACACCGGGCACCGAGCCGGGACCTTCCGCCTGCCCGCTGGGTCATGGCCAGCACGGCGGGACCGTCCGCCCGCTCCCCTGTGCCATCGCCACCATCGCCGCCGGTGCGACGGCACCGCCGCTGCCATGCGGGACCCTGCGAGGGGAGCTCGGCACCACCGAGAGCGATAGTGACGGCACCCCGGGGAGGACACCCCGAGCCGGGGCCGTGGCGGGAGGGCAGGCGAGGCGCCCCCGACCCCGGCGGCCTCGATGGCGCGGGACCATGTGCCGGGGGCATGGCGGGGCGGCCGGGCGGGGGGCGGCGGGGCCGGTGCGGGTGGCGGGGGCGGGGAGGTGGAGCCTGGCTGCGGGACCGCCGCTTCCCTCCCCCGTCGGGCGCTCACCTGGCGGGGCCGCCCCTCGCCAGGGGGCCGGTTCCACGCGGGGCGCGGGGCTCGCCCGCCCGCCCTCCCCGGGCCGCGCGTCCGCCGCCCGCCGGCTCAGGCCCCAGCAGCCGCCGCCTCCCCCTCCATGGCCGCCGCTCTCGCCGGCTGCATTGTGGGAAGCTGACCTCACTCGCTGCTGCCGCCGCCCCGCCGGCTCCGGCACTCGCCGCCATGGGGGCCGTGACCGACGGTGAGACCTCCCTCCCTCCCTTTCTCCATCCTCCTCTCCTTCCTCCCGCCCCGCGCCGCGACCCCCGCCGGGGCTCCCCGCAGCGCCGCGCCCCCCGCCCGCCCTCCGGGGAGCGGCTGCCGCGGCGCCCGGGGCCGCTCACCCCGCAGACGGGCCTCCATCGCGGCCCCGGCCCCGCCGCCCTCCATGCTCCCCCGGCCCCGCGGCTCAGCGGATCCGCCCGCTCTGGCTCCGGGAATGGTTTCCTGAAGGGCCCGGAGAGTCCCGGGCGCGGCGCCGGGAGGCGGCGGCCATGGCGTGAGGGCTTAACGGGAGTTTTTCCCCAGATGAAGTTATCCGCAAGCGGCTGCTGATCGATGGCGATGGAGCTGGCGACGACAGGCGGATCAATTTGTTGGTGAAGAGTTTCATTAAGTGGTGTAATTCCGGATCTCAGGAGGAAGGGTATCTGTTGTTTTGCTTTGGTTTTTTAAGTCTTGGAACTGCTTAGCTTGCGTCTTAGTGGAAAGCAGGGCTCGATCCATTTGGAAGAGATCCGCGTTAAAATGCGCACAGCTGCTTTTCTTTGGCTCTGTGGTGTTTCCAGGAGCAGCGCCGAGGTCTGTGCTGGGAGAGGAGGGCTGCAGACGGGTCAGGAATCGCTGGGGGCTGCGGGCTGTGTCCTGAAATCTGCCAGCACCGCTCTAGTGCCCGCAGGATTGCTGTGCCTGCTGCGTGAGCCAGCCGGGAGTCCCGCTCTTATAACAGGATCATGACTCGGATATTTTAGTTGGCAGTTCTGCGTTTGTTCTGTTAGGGAAGGGAAATACTGCTGGTATTTCTGCTGCTGTCGTTTTCTCTCTCTCTCTTTTTTTTTTTTTTTTTTTTTAATGTCTAAATTAGTAAGGTACGAGTGACAGCCTTCTGTGGGGTCTCTGTTAGTAATGGATAGAAATTCCCAGAGATCACAATATTACCAGTGTGTAGACAGAGAAGCACTGCTGTATTAAAATACTAATTTGGTGGCCACAGAACCAACCCGAGCTGGAAGATTTATAAGCTCTGGGTCAAACTGCTCACTGCTTTAACTTAACGCTGATAAGGACATGATGCTGCAATTAATGTGTACAGTGTTTCTAACTGCACTTCCAAAAAATTATACACTGAATCTTTGAAGTGTTTTCTTTATTCAATGATTGTTATTTAGCTGTCCCTTATGCTACATGAAGTTTTGTTTTCTTGCTCTATGAAGTTAGGAACTATTTTTATGCTGCTTGAGAGTAAATGTCTTGTCTGTTTTCAGATACAGCCAGTACCAACGAATGCTGAGTACTTTATCACAGTGTGAATTTTCAATGGGAAAGACTCTCCTGGTGTATGACATGAACCTGAGAGAGATGGAAAATTACGAAAAAATCTACAAGGATATAGGTAAATACGAGAAAACGTTAATGGTTTCTGTTTGACAGTTTCTCTTCTGAACAAGCTTAAGCCTGGTGAACATAATATATACATCTAATGAGTGGTTTGGACGTTTCTTGAGTTTGTTTTTTTTTTTTTCTTACTAGATAGAACTCATATGTTCTATAAGCATCTTGTAATTACATAGAATACATACAAACAAGAGCTTTTTAAACCTATTCATGTGTATATAGTTTTTAAGCTGATGGATCTAACAGCCATGTCACAAACAGCTCTTTTATAGTTCAGCAGAATAGCTTATTTACATGTACTGTTTGAATTCAATATAACTCTGTATATTTCTTTTTTTTTTTTTTCCCTAAAGAAAATAGTATAGCTGCAGCCCATGAGAAGATCTCTGAATGCAAAAAACAAATCCTGCAAGCAAAAAGGATTCGAAAAAATCGCCAGGGTAAGGTGCCGTATTTACAGTGGTGAACTTCATTGGTTTGTTATCTTTTAGAATACATTGTATTGGAAAATAGATTCTAGATTTTTGAACATGCAAGGCATCATGATTACTATGCTCAGCCTGGTGGGTTCCACTGACTACTGAATGTTTTGGGTGGATGACACAGGCAGGATTGAACCTGATCTCAATGACATGCAGCATCAGGAAAACCTAAAACAGTGTCCTTTCTGAACACCTGTTTTAAGAGGTGTATTTTTTCCCTACTTTTAAAATTGTATACACATAAATCATTGAAACCTACAACACTCTAAAAGATGAGCTGTTGATTAGAAGCAAAAAATTGTTTTTTCATGATAAATGAAATGCCAAAAATTTCAGAAATATAATATGAAATGTTTTAAATACAACTGTTTGATCCATGCTGTGGATAACTTTGAACTCAACTGGATATTAAAATAATCTTAACCAGTAGGAATATGGACTTCTTACATCTTCACAAACATAGGTCTGAAGTGTTTGCTTTTTAATATGTTCTGTCCAGTCTGCAGCACAAATTTTTCCAGGTGAATGAAGTAGATGTCATCTGTATGGTCTTCCTATCAGGAAATGGCTGTGTTAGTTGCCTGTATAACCATAATATTATTCTTCATGTGTAATATTTTTTTTTAAAAAATGCATGCCGCATTTTATACTAAATTTTATGCTAAATATTTTTCTAAAAATCTTTAATGTTCTTGTGTAACATCAGCACCATTTTCTGTATATATACATTTGATTGTATATAAACCCAGTGTTTATGAATCAGATACAAAAGACTAAGTGTGCAGCAATGCAGAGCTATCTTAAGGTGTTTTGAAAAACATTAAAACAGTTTTTCAAGGAAAAAGAATCTGCCATTCTGTGATACCTGAGTTTGGGTTCTTGAATCCATATTTTCAGAAGTATTTACATCAACTATTTAAATGTCTTTCAGAATATGATGCATTGGCCAAAGTCATACAGCATCACCCAGACAGACATGAAACACTGAAGTAAGTATAAAACTACATTAAATTATAATAGAGCAGTAAACTAGAAGTCACCAGATTTGACATTTCCTTGATTTCAGTTTGACTTTCCCTCATGTTTATATAATTTCTTTGACACAATAAAAACTTGTGTTTCTGTGTCTTTATGAGCTTTCCTTAATGTTCCATCCATATGGGTCAGAAGCACTGCTAATTGTTCTGTAGTTGAAATTTTTCCACTGAAAAATTAAGGTGAATAAGTGAACTGAGATGTAAATGCACATCTCAGAAAAGGGAGATGGTGGGAAGTCCTTTAACTTACACCAGCCAGATTCAGTGGTCACTCGAAATGCATAACACACAAGCAAGTAAAGTGGAATGAGAGAGAGCAGGAGAAAGCTCCTAGAGTTCTTTTTTATGTTTTCCTTCTGGTTGTTGTTCCTGCATGCCCAGTTATAAATGGCTCTGTGGTTTGCCACACATAACCTGCCCTGGCATGCAGGGCAGACCTACCTGTTGTCCAACTCGTCCTGTGTGTAACTCACAGTGCTGCTTGTCACATTCTGGGTTTGCATCACTGTCTGTGCTTTTGGGGCAGTTGTGGGGAGATTACTGAGCCATACAAACATTCTAGGATTTATTGCATCTATGAGTTTGTTGTTCTTAAACTGATTAAAGAGGTGGTGTGGAATTACTGTTCCCATATAAGTGCAGCTGTGCACTTATCCTCTTCCCACTTCCAGTGAAATTGCCAGGGGAGGCTGTCTTTTCATATTCCATAGCCTTTTATAGCAAATGGAAATTATTTGGTTATACTATTACCCTAACAATAGCATTTTTATGGCTATAAGCCACTGACAATATTTCACACATTTCTGTCTTGTATGTTGTTTTTCTGTGCCTTGATTTCATTACCCCAGCTTTCATTATTACAGGCAATTCTCATGAGGCTTGACTACTTCTTACTTCATTAGTCAGCATATGACATTTATCAAGTGAGACTTTAATAAAGAACTACCAAAAATGCAGTTTCTCAGATAAGTTAATTAAGAATAGAAATAACTAAATGAGAGAAGTTGTGACTGCCCAATCCCTGGAAATGTTCAGGGCCAGTTTGGATGGAGTTCTGAGCAGTGAGAGATCTCCCTCCCCATGGCAGGGGGTGTGAACTAGATGATCTTTATGGTCCTTTCCAACCCAAACTATTCTATAATTGTGTGATAAATGTTACTTTTTTATCTTAGAGGATGCTGGATTGTTTAGGTTTGGAGGGATTATTCTAAGCTTGCTTAACACATCCAAGCATAAGTTTCTTAAGCAGAGCTAGAAAGCATGGTAAGTTATAGCTGGTAAGGATGCAGTCTGTAGGAAAGTACACAGAAAATGATGCAATGAACCAAAGGCCACCCTTAATTCAGAACAGAGGAAGCCTCACTAACAATATCACACTTTTCATGGAACTCTTAATCACTGAAAACACTTGAGAAAACTTCTCATAAGAAGAAACAGAAGGGTTTCTTGCAAGAGTTATATTTACAGCTTTTGCAGGCTATCTGGCACAATAGGACAAAGTTTAGAAAAATACTTTCTTTGTGCTCTTAAGAGTCTTTTTCTTGGAACAAGGAGTCATACAGCACAAAAGAACTGTTAACAGCTTAGTCACAAGTAGTGCACAGGAGCCAATTCAGGAAGTGATAGGAGCAGAAGTACTGAACAACACTGCCCACAGTGTAATTAGATGCTGTATCAGAAGAGCTGTTCAGAGAACCAAGAAATGACACAGGCCTACAAAAAGAGATATGAAGGTAAGAAGGCTAAGCAATGCTTCTCTGGAGTGTAAAGTAAAAGGAATAAAATTCCAGATGTAGCTTGGATATTACTAGGAAAAAAAAAAAAAAGTCTGTCCTCTCACAGTCTGCTACCTGACAGCACAGTGTAAACAGCAAGATTTGGGCAAATAGAAGTTTTTCAGAAACTAGAAACCAGATGCTTCCAGAATCAGTGTATGAGCCTGTAAGCTGAAGAGAGGGGTAATGTCACACACAACTCTCAGGTATTCCCATTGAGGTACCAAGCATGCTTGCTCAAAAAAAGACAACACCCTCAGGTAGCACTAAAATAACCTTTTCCCATCCACAATGAGGTACTTAGGACTGGAGGGCTTTCTGTGGTTCCCTACCCAGACTAGCTGCAGCAGCTGTCAATGGCTTCAGGAAAAAAAGGTTGATTTCCTTGCTGACCCCTCTATGACTCTGCCTGCTAATTAATCAGGCTAATTAATCAGCCTCAATCCACTTCACCTTTAAATGAGCGTTTTGCTGTAATTGCATGGTGCATAAATTATGATAGGCATTGGAAGTAGAAGGAGCAAACTGGGGGTTTGGCTGTAAGAGCTGGTGCTCCATTCTCATTTGAAAGGTATATTATGGTACCTGCTGTTCTTGGCCTCAAAAAGGGTCCATGGTGAGCTCAGGTGAGAGCAGAAAGTTCTTCCCCCAGAGTGTGGTTGGGCACTGAACAGGCAACCAGGGAAGTGGTCACAGCAGCAATCCTGACAGAGGTCAAGGAGCATTTGGACAATGCTCTCAGGCACAGGGCATGACTCTTGGGGTATCCTGTGCAGGACCAGAGCTTGGAGTTGATATTCCTTGTGAGTCTGGCTCAGGATATTCTAAGATTGTATGAATCTGCTTCTTTGACTTGTATTGTAGGGTCAAGTAAGTAACATGTTGTGTCAGGACTGAATTGTTACAAATGCCCAGGGTACAACTGTATTCCAGCTTGGAGGCCTAAGTTTTTGTAAATATTGTGAAATTACAAGTCTAGAACATAATAGTTTAAAATTACATGAAGTGACCTTACCTCTAAATCATTTAACTTGTTTTGTTTACATAAACAGTATGTTTTAGAGTTCTTTCTCCTCTACTTAGAGCAAATCTGTTTTGCAAGAATTTTACAGAATTTTTAAAGAATACTCTGACAATCTCTTTTCAGGCAGCTGGAAGCTTTGGGAAAAGAACTGCAAAATCTTTCTCACATTAAAGAAAATGTTGAAGATAAGGTAAATTTTTCATAGAGATGGTTATATAATAATTTATTAGGAATACAATTAATGTAGAGTCTGCTATGGGTTGTTTGGCTGTATGTGCTCTCTGTTTCCTACAACATGTATTTTATCATTCCAGCTGGAGCTGAGAAGGAAGCAGTTCCATGTTCTCCTGAGCACCATCCATGAACTTCAGCAAACCCTGGAGAGTAAGTGCTGTTCTTTGGTAATAGATATAACTGGGTTGTGTTTTAGCAGATCAAAAGGAATCACAACTTCCAGCAGGGGGATGGCTCTGTGCAATTGAGGCTGGTGACCTCTTGCATTGGCAGAATTTTTTCCCAGTAGCAGTCCAGAGCCTGAGACTGCTGAGTTTTTTTTCCTCTACAAGCTACCCACTGTGCCATTTCCTGACTAGATTCAGGTTAATTTGTAGGCAGCAGAATTCTTTAAAATGTGAGGATGGAGAATAGCTATTTGAGTTTTGGGGTTTTTTGTTGGTTTTTTTTCCTGTTTGTTTGTTTTTTTTAACAGAAAGTATTTCTTACAGAGAGTTATTCTTGTGCTGATTTCCAAATTTCATTTTATAATTCCTATTTCAGTAGTTTTGAACATGTCACTACTACCATGGTATCAATTGAGGCTTTACTAAAAAAATTTAAATACAAGGAAGGTAAATGACAACCTACTCAGACTATGAATCTGTGACAGAGCAGATAAAACTGTCAGACATGAGAGCTACATTCAGGAATTACTTGTACTCATCTTTTCTCATACAAATACTTAATATTTTCAAATCAGCACTAACTTTTTGTGCTTTTATATGGATAATATTGTTTTAAATATTTGCTGTATATTTGCCCTGTCTTTCAAAGACAGAACAATTGGTACAGCCTCTGAGCATGACCTGATTAAATGCAGAGATGGCTCTAAGAGCAGACTTTCATTCTCTAAGGCCATTTAGATCTTCTTAAGCAGAATGAACTGTTAATCCTAGGTGCACTTTAGCAGAAGGTTATTGTTATTATGTGTTACTAACACTTGCTTAAGTACTACTCTTGAAAATGCATTTTCATGTGAATATATAGATCACTTTTCAGGGTTTTGTGAAGGAAGTAGCAGTTTAGTGAAAAGCGCAGCTTCAGTATAAAATAAATAAACCATTAGCAGACAAAGAAAAAGAAGGGGTTAGAAGCAATCTGGTATCATTTGCTTCAACTGACACTAGAATTTACCCCATATTTCCAGTAACAGCTGTTACAGATAACATCCTTAAAAACTGAAGGATTATTTTGTTTGTTTGAACATAGCATTTTTTAGAATGAGATACTCAACTGCACATTTAAAGCAATCATAATAAAATATTTAAGTGGAACAAAGTTCTGCAGTATAGTCTATATATTACCAAGCATGTTTGACTAACAGTAATATTGAATTTTAGATGATGAAAAACTTTCAGAAGCTGAGGAATCACAAGAAACTCAGATGGAAGCGGAGGCCAAGCAGTAGATGCCATCTGAAGACTGACAAATACTACTTAAGAAAGTCCAAGTATCTTCACTTTCTGTTGAAATCAACAGTAAGAGAGATGGAGCTGGAAATAGTTTTCTCCTGCTTCTGTGAATTTTTGTACAAAAATACGTGTTTTGCATATGTTTCATGGGAAAAGAGTTGCAGATGTTTGCAGGCAGGCACTCAGTGTTAATCCACAAACTTTGTAATTTGTGACAAATATACTTTGTTTCACAAAGGATGAAGCTTTTACACCATACTTGTGAACTAAGGTGTTTGTAAAACTTTGCCAATAAAAGATGTTTTCACAGATTTTCCTATTTTTAGTACGGATTGAGCCTTATTATAAGGGCTTCTTTTCTTACATGGCATCAGACTGAGGGCAGTGCATCTTTTCATGAGTCCCAGTTGCCATACCCTGTTCTAGATGGGACCTAAATCTGAACTAAGTTGGCTCTTAGTTTTTTAAAATAGCTGCCATTTAGAACTTACTGTGACTAGACTAGAATTTGATAGTTTCATATAAAATAAATTACTTCTATAGAATGAATGCTTGTTAGGGGTTATAAAAACCTAAAAATGATACTCTACTAGCTTTAATTTTTTCCTCAAAGTGATGCAAAGAACTGCAATGATCCAAGCCTTGCTCTGCTGTATTTGTTGTACCATATCAATAGTCACATTTTGAAATGGCACGTTTAAAACTTCAATTTAAAAGCTTTGTTCTTGAAGAACCAGGAATCCAATCCCAGTATCATTTATAATCTGCTTCTGGATTTTATCTGTCAATTGACTATTATCAAAATACATCATAATTTCTGAAACAGATGTTTCAGGGTGGAACCCTTCTTTTCTCATGAAAAACTGAAGCAGTAGAGAAATAATAATGATGTTAAAGAATCAGAGATACTTTTATTATTAGTAGGCAAAGTGGAATCTATCCATCCTCCTGGATAGTGAGTGCTGCGTGAGCACTCTGTTGGGAAGTAACAAAAGTTTCAACCTTCCCCAAAAGAGAAGAGAATGGAATATGCTCTATATTTTGTAAGGCAGGGAGGAAGGAGCAAGGGGCAGCAGTAGGTCATGTTCTGAAAACACTCACTAAATGGAGCCTTGCAGTGGTTTGGGTAAAGGAAAACACTTTGGCTCTCACTCAGACTGTGCCATAAGCATACCTGGTTCAGGTGAAATAACAAAGTTACATGGAACAGAGCTGCTGTCTCACTGGGTGACAGCTGAGGGGGATTTCCACAACTGAGACTTCAGACATTTATAAGCTAGATGCTGTGTAATTCCCACTCTCAGTGGATCTGGGTGGATTGGGCTGAGCAGACATATCTGAGCTTGCTTTGCTCACATTCCAAGTTTGCTAAAGGCAAGCCTGCTGAATAAGAAGTCACACAGCTTCAGTAGCACAGTGCAGCCCTGAACTAATAAGCTGTCAGAAGTCTTCTAGTTCACAGCTGGTCAGCTCAGAGCACAGGGAAGCTCAGCTTTGCCTGATGAGCCTGTGCAGACATGCACTGCTTCTCATGCACTACGAATTTGGCAGGTTGAGGGGTGGCTAAGCAAACAGCAGGCATTCAGTAGAAGTACACCATCAAAAAGTATTAACTGTACAGGGTTGTTCCCCTCACAACAACAGGGAATGGTAAAATATTTTGTAAAGCAGCAACACTAAATTATTGCCAAATCAGGGAGGAGTCATGAATATATGAATTATGAAGATCATAAGTGACAAGGACTCAAGGACAATTTTAAAGCATATTAATTTTTCTTTGTGGTTGAAATGGCCTCCATGAGCTGTCTGGACTGTATTTTGATGCAGTATTCACCAGTTAAAAACAGTCTCTGTAACAGTGAAAATCTCAAATTTTTCCATTTGTTGTTTTACATGATCCTTTGGAAATTACTTGGATCATCAAGTGTCTTATCTCAGAACTTGCACTGCTCTGTATAGAACCTGACCAGAAACATGCCAACACCTAAGTCTGTCCCTCTGGTAAGGAATATTTACAGAGAAATAAGAGTTGTACACAAGAGAAGCAATAGAAATGCATGGCAAAGGAATATATTCTAGTTCAAATTACAACGATGCAATCTTGAAAATAAATTACTGCCCTGGAAAATCAAGTTGCCCTAGTGCAAGGTGGCAACAAGAAAGTGATGTCACCAGGCCAATCAAAGAAAAAAGTAAAATCAATTCATTGCAAACACAGCCTCAGTTGAACACCCAAAATACTTGCTCCTATTTTTTCAGTATTTATACCTCTAACCTCTTGAACATTAGATTTGTACCAAAGCAGAAAACCAAATGGAATTCATATACCAGCCAGTATTTAACCTGCCTTATAACCAAGACTCCAGAAGTTTTTTGTGTGCCATTTTTGCAGGGCACTGCACTGGTCACTGATGGTCACTGTTCCATCCCTGCCTAGAAAGCTCTGCTCTGTCATGCTGCTTACCTACATTGACTCTAAATGTACATGTAAAAAAACCTAGGTACATCAATTCAGAATCTCAACAACCACACTATTTTAAAAAGCTGTTTCCTGGATTTATGATTTTCCTTGACTCTATCTAAGCTGAAAAATTTTTATGTGCCTAAGTGGTCCATCTCAGTGCCCTTGTCATGTGGATGCAAAAACAGAAGGAGAAAGAGAGTTGCTGAAGTGATAAACTGAGATTTTCAGTGCCAGGACTTGTTTTTCTGTCCTGTCCAAAGGAGAGCAGCAGAGGGAGAGTGGAACATTGGACAGAATTGGCAGCTTGGGCAGGACTTGTTAAGACAGATTTACCACGCTTCATGCAGGGATGGAAGAAGGAGGAGAAAGGATGTCACCATGACACACTGTCAAATGATGGGATATCTCTGAAACCATGTGAATTTGAAGAAAGTTGCTGCCAGAAAAGAAAATTGAAAAAAAAAAAAAACAACAAAAATCCCAAAGATTTATGAGCTAGAAATTATGAGTTGAGATACTTGTAAGTTTTTCAGATGTCACAGCTGGCTTGAACCATACTTTCCCACTCAAGGCTCACTCGAGTTTCACTCGAGTTTAAAAAGCTAAGAAAAAAATTCAGAAATGCAGGCAAGTACAGTTAGTCCTGCTCTGGGAACCTGTGTGGCTTTTTCTTTCTAGCAGGGACACATCCAGTGTATGAATCACTTTACAGACCAATATGCAAGAGACCCTGGGGAAAGCAAGTTATAGCAACAGAGAAGTGCTCCACCTTTTGTGCTTCACTCCAGTTGTCAAACATGTGTTTGGGTTACCTCAGCCTCCATTTCCCAAGTCTGTTTTAATAAAGGTTGTTAGCACTGTTGCAGAATTCCCTCTGCTCATAGCCCAGGGCTACACAACACAGCTGTGTGTGGCTGGGCCCTGTGCAAAGGTTGCTGAAAGGCTGTTCCTGCGTGCTGGGCACTGCCACAGCAGCCACGAGGCAAAGCCAGGTTTGGATTTGGCTTGTGTCCACCCTGGCCTCGTGTGATTCACCTGTAGCTGGCAGCAGGAAAGTATCCAGCAGGAGCTGGCATGGCATGGCATGGCAGTGTGAGCTGTTCAGTGATGGGCCAGAGGCACTTGGGGAATGGGACACCAGGACATCCCAGCCAAGGAAGCTCAGCATCCTTGTTCCAAGGATATTCAAGAGCAATCCTAAAGCCAGGGATGCAGAGTGATGTGGACTTTGCCTGGGCTAGCAGAGTCCTGAAGGGAAGGATGAGGGGCTTACACCTCTGTGCCAGGTGAAATGATAGAAGGCTTGTTCAGTGGAAAGAGAGCTCTGGACCGGTCCTGGCTGCCCTGGTTGTGTTGGGCAGCCATTGCTGGCTGAGTGGCAGGAACTGGACTTAACCAAAGAACCCACGAGGCAGGAACTTGGGGACAGACTCGTGTCCCCACACTTGTTACATGTATGTCTGTGCAGCTTTTGTGAGGGGCACGAACCGCGAAGCTCGGGGGAGCGGCGGGCAGCGGTGCCGAGGCGGCGCTGCGGGGCGGGGCCGGCAGGGGGCAGCAGAGGCCGGGCTGGCCGGGCGCGGCGCCTCCCGCGATCCGCGCATCCCATCCCATCGGCCCGTTCCCGCGATCCGCGCATCCATACGTGCATCCATCCATACATCCCACCGGCCTGTTCCTGGGATCCGCGCATCCCATCTCATCGGCCCGTTCCCAGGATCCACGCATCCAATCCCATCCCACCGGCCCTTTCCCGGGATCCATGCATCCATCCATCTATCGCACTGGCCCGTTCCTGGGATCCGCGCATCCCATCCCATCGGCCCGTTCCCGGGATCCACGCATCCCATCCCACCGGCCCGTTCCCGGGATCCATGCATCCATCCATCTATCGCACTGGCCCGTTCCTGGGATCCGCACATCCATCCGTGCACCCCATCCCATCCCACCAGGCCGTTCCTGGGATCCGTGCATCCCATCCCCCTGGTTCTTCCCTGGGATCCGTGCATCCCATCCCACCGGCCCGTTCCCGAGATCCATACATCCATCCGTGCATCCCGTCCCACTGGCCCTGTTCCCAGTGCTTCCCAGCCTTGTGAGCCCTTTGCAGACATTTCCTTTTTCGTTTTGCTACTGTTTCCCAAGCACAGCCAGTTCTGCAACTGTCTGGAGGGGTTAAAACCCTGGAGAATCATGGAATATCCTGAGTTGGAGGGACCCACAATGTTCACGGAGCCCAAGTCCTGGACACAGCCCCAAGAGGGTTTTCCCTGCTCTCCCCCACACTTCATTTTCACTGTCTTGCCTGAACTACCCTGATTCTCAAAGCCTCTCTCTAAGATGCCCCAGAACACATAAAACACTGCCAAGGAGCAGAAGGTGCAATCCCAAAACCTCCATTCCTTGGGATGCCACATGACACAACACAAGCATATCCAATACTTCATTTTCCTGCTGATTATGACAGATCCCAAACCCTCCATGCTGCCTCCCCCATGCAAGGGCTGGAGGAGCAGTCTGACAGTGTTTGCAGCAGGAACAGAGCACCCTCTGGCATGCAAGATTCTGCTGCCTCCAACACATCCAGCCCCATCATCCTGAAACCAGGGCAAGAGTTGTTTCAGGATCATTACATACTGGTTTGCTCTGAATTTGCATCATCATAGCGAGAAACTTGGCAAAAGTTTGCTAAAAGCATTATAGACCATGAGAGTTCCTAAAATATTTAACAGCAAAAAACTTGTGTTTTTAAATTGCTTTCACAATAAAGGGAAAATAAAAAGTAAACTACCTAAACAACATTTTTTTCATGTTGTGTCAGTTTGCTGACAATGAAAAGTCACCATGAAGAGAATTTAAAATGATGATTTATGTCCAAGGAGGAAAGGAGTTTTGTCTTCTCAACACAAAATTTCATCAGAAGTGTATGCTGGAAATAACAGTGTGTGCTGCATGTAACAAATAGGCCCCACTAGGACCCCATTTGGAATAAAAACAAAATATATAATTTATGATATGGCAGGGCAAACTGACTGTAGACACCTTCCTAAAGATTTACATAAAATATTACTACACTTAAATCTCATATGAGCCTAAATGAAATTCACATTTATGTTTGCTGCACCAAAATCCTGTCCATGAGCTGCAATTTCAAACTGTGTATTTTCCCAAAAGTGCTTTATTGTTGCTAAAATCTCCCAAACAACACTAAGCTTTAAAGCTGAAAACAGAAACCTCTGGTAGATTACCAAACATAGAACACAAATTTAGACGCAAGACATGGAAACAACCACCACTGCCCACTGCAGCTTCTCCGAGTTACATTAAGCAAATTTTAAATACCTAGTGGAAGTTCAGAT